CAACTTGGGCCAGTGAAGCAGTGTCCTCCACAACTAGACTGAAGAACAAAACGACAGCAACTTGTCTGTTCCCCTTCCCCTAATTCCCCAGTACTGTTCCCATCCCCCCAATTACCCAATAAAAATCTTTAAAAAAAAAAAAATGGGACTGGGCCCCTTATAATCTTACTAGATATAAAACTGTCCAGTAATATAAAAAATAAAAATATTGAGATCTATATTCAAAATACACTGAAAAGGCAATGTCCTCTGGAAATGAGGACAAATGATACAGCCGAGAAAAACAGATGCCAGGGTAACATAGGTAGTCCAAAATAAGAGTACTAAATCTGGCTAGAAAGGAAAGCATCCAAATGACCACTGAGGTGGACAGGTGCTTACCCAGAGAAGGCAAAGCTAGTTTGACCTCAGGCCGCATGCTCTTTCATGCAGGAAGGTCAAATAAACGGATATGATCAAAAGGAAAGCTCCCGCCTGGTACTCACCTGCCGGAAAGACTCCTCTTCTGCATCGTCTAGAGCTGTGTTCTCATCAAAGTCAATCACACGATCGTACATTTGGATGTTATACTCATCCCAGGACACACTGCCGTCGCTGTTTTTATCATATTCAACAAACTGTTGCTTTGCTTCTTGCATAGCATAATGTTTAAAAGACATTTGAATCCATGAACTGAGTTCACCTATGGGAATTTCCCAGAACACAATAAATGTAACAGTAATTCTCATAGAGGAGTGAGAATTCCTAAACCTTCTCTAAAAGAAAAACAAGCTTCAGTGTTTGCAGAGACTGAATGAGAACTGGCTTAGTTGTCTTCACAGAACTAGGAGCAGGAGTTGGGGAGAACTGTTTAAAGTCTAAGAATATTATGTGCTCCAAATAACAGTGTAAGCTCCTTGAATGCAGAGTTTGTGTGTGTTTTGTTCATCAAGGCACTCCAGGTGCTTAGGAAGCCCCTGGCTAAATAAGTATTTATTAAATGAATTAACAATTGGCCAAAATAGAACTTGATTTTTTTAAAAAATATTATTCGTAAAACTGCAGATAACCTTTGCTATCACAGTTCTCACAGGCAGGACACATCTTTGAATAACTTGTTTATTTTAATATTTTTCATTTATGAAAGTAATATAAAATTTTCCTTTGATTTTTACATTGAGTTGATCAAAACTATACTAAGGAACTAATAGATGGTAAGTAGGTATGGCCTACACTATGAGAAGGTGCTCATGTGACTGAGGTTTGAGAAACACTGTTATAGTATATTCCCTTTAACCACGACATGAAACATCTGGAGGAAACTTTAACAAAGTTATGGGTAGCATTTTTGAATTACCACTTTCTTGTAACAGCTGTCTGTCTTTACTTAGTACCTGAAGACATGGGAAAACAAGTTTCTAAATTTTAAATGTCCACTTTCAGATCAAATTTTAAAAGTCTGTTCAGTGATTTTTATTATACTGCATTAAAGCAAAAGGGAAGAACATGAGCATTTGTGTGGATAGCAGGGGTAAAGAGTGCCGGTGTAAAGAGTGGTACCCCTCTGCTGGTGTGGGGGAGGCCAGATGACTACAAAAGACCCTTTTTGTCTCTCCTGAAACTACATCAGGGCAGAATAATAACAGCCATGTAGTAAAGAATTACTATGTAACAGGTCCTCTACCTCCTTGTCTCTAATCTTCAAAACATGGCCATTCTAATCACTAGATTACAGTTCCTAGAAACTGGGTTTTGGAATTGAGGACTCATAGCTAACAAACAGCAGAGTCCACTTTCAATCCTACCTTTGGCTTCAAAAACCCAAACTCCTTCCACTCTCTCAAGAACCTATGTCCAGTCCTGACCTTTAGAGTGCAAGTTAGCAAAATTCCCTCGAGGGTCTTCAATGAGGGTTTCTTCTAGTTTATTTAAAGAGCTCAACATGGGGGCTGGCCTAGTGGCTCAGTTGGTTAAGAGCTTGCTCAAGAGTGTGAGCTCTGAGCAACAGGGTCGCCAGTTCGATTCCCGACCTGAGCAAAGCTGCCAACAGGTGGCAGGATGGCTCAGCTAAAAAAAAAAAAAGAGCTCAGCACGGCATAACTGAATACAGAATGGAGCACTGACCAGAAAACTGTGGGTTCACACTTGACCCTTGCAATAAGGAGACGTTCACCCTCTCAAATTTTTGCTCTCTTATCTGTAAAATGAACATTTGGACTAAGTTCCTTTTAACTTTAAGTTTTTAAAAAGTTTACTATTACATATTTGATCCTATGTAGGCCCTGAAAGACAGGTACCATCAAGTCTTCCACATCTAGTTGCTCTGTGTGCTTTCTAGTGTGACCAAACATGGACCCCTTCTTGTTGGATATGAGTCTAAGGTTTTCTTCTTGTTTAAGTAGAAAGAACCAAAACCTTAGTATTCCTGAGGGCACCAATGCGAATACTTTATTAACAACACATTTTTGAGAGGCAGTTGCACAATTTATTTGGAATATTCTTTGACTAATCTGTGAATTTCGTTTCTGACTCTAGAATTTATGTTAAGAACGCTCTTTTTTTTTTTTAAGTGAGGGACATTAAAAACTAAATTAAGATTCGATTTGGGTTCCAGACCAGGCTTGGCCACTCATGTGAGAAAAGGCACTTGCCCTCTGGCCTTCAGTTTCTTCATCTCTACAAAAAGACATGATGGTTCGAAGGCCCTACCAGCTGCAATAGATTTGTGATAAACATAACTCATATGCAACAGGTCTTTTTCCACTTGCTTATGAAAAGCAGATTCTTATAATTCTAAAGAAGCGTATCTCAAAAGAGCAATACATCACCTAAGGCCTGAAGGTTTTTGGCACATTTCCCTCAAATGCATCTCATTGTTGACACTGACAAAAGGCCTGTGAGGAATGGGTGTTTGCAGAAGGTATGACTGTCTCCTACAGGGAGGGGTCAGTGGTGTTTGTATTACTGGCTGGAGGAAGCACCGCGTTTCCTTGGCATCCTATGTCTAAGGGTTTCCAGGTATAAAACGTCCTCACTATGTCCTTTTTACCCTCTCACGGTACTTCTGATCTGTTGGGAACACTACCCTAAGCAGACACTCCTGTTTAAGGGTGTTTCTGTGCCCTACAAAGGGATCTCTCCATTGTTAGTTGTGTAGGACGTCCTTACTTTCGGTGAGAAAGCCATCTGAGTCCAAGTCAATTTTCTTTATGATTGACTTCAGTCTTTTGTGTTGCTCTTCGGGGGTGAGTTTAACATATTCATCGACTTCTTCCTTTGGAGGGTAAGCGATACACAGTGGGGTCAAGCATTACTATCACTGGGGCAAAATGGTGGAGAAAAATAGGGCGACCAGAAGCCTCCCTTGCCCAGGGGTTTTTGGGTGACCCACACCTGCTCTCCAAGGCCCCCGCCCCTCACACCCTCAGTGACCCTGCCCCGTATCCGAGGGTACAAGCGATCCGGGTCCTGGGCCGCCCTCTGTCCTCAGGCTCGGAGGCCGCAGGGTTCCCTAGAGTGAGCGGCGTCCCGCCCGGCCCCCATGGTCAGGCCGCCCCGGCCTCGCCCGGCACCCCCCCCTTTGTCCAGGGACAAAGCCCGCGGCGCCGCGGGGCAAGGACGCCCGCCCAGGCCAGGCCGGGCCGCCTCACCTGGCCGCCCAGCAGCGCCTCGCGATGGTAGTCGGCGCGGTGCTCGCCCTGCGCGTAGTGCAGCTCCTCCGCGTCCCCGGCGCCGGCCGCCGCGGCGCACAGCAGCAGCAGCCCCAGCGCCGCGGGCTTCGGGCCCAGCCGCATCGCACCGGCAGCGGCGGACGGAGGGGCGAGGCGGGCGCGGGCACGGTTCAGGCCGGCGGCGGCGCGGCGGAGGTGACGGGCACGAAGCGCGGGTAAACGTGGGGTACCCCTCGGGCCCGCAAGCCGAGGCCCGGTCACGGCTGCGCGGTAGTAGGGGGAGGGGCGCCTGGAGGCCTGGCTTATATAGCCCCGGCTGAGGGGCGGGGCCCAGGCCGCGCCGCTGATTGGACCGATCGGCGCAGGGGGCGGGCCGCGGCGAGGCGGCGGTTGGCTGCAGAAGGGGAGACTGGCGCCACGACACCCTGGGCAAAACCCGTCCTCGCTTCGCCTCGCGCCGGCTCTTCCCGTCATCGTTGTTCTTGCCAGAAACTCCGGTCCACTCCATGTGTCTGCCCCGATTCCCTCAATGAGAGAGGCAGGTTTGGGGGAACATAATACAGTACCTGGGAAGAGCGGCCTTCAAAAGCCAACCGACAGTACCCATTGCTCAGCCTTCAGTGTATCTCTGCTGATTTCTGTCACCGATGAACCATTTCGCGACCTACAGTTCTGTGACCCGTGTCCAGGAAAAGAGAGGACTTGCACCTCTCCATGAGGGACATCAACATTTAAGGGGTAGGAGAGCTAAGAGGTGACATCAAAAGAGATGGAGAGGGAGGGACAGGAGATGGAGAAGTGAGACAAGAAAGTAAAAACGGAAGGCAAGGAAAGAGAGTGTCTCCAGGTGGCAGGTGTGTCAAGCAGTTCAGAGAAACTAACTTAAGTCATAATGATGATATCCACGGGATCTGCGCTGGGGACATCCCTAGTGACTTTGGAAAGAGTGGTTTCCATGTGGGGGTGGGGGGCGAAGGGGACAGAACCCAGGGTGCAATAACATGAGTTACTAGACATGAGTAGTAATTGAGGAATTAAAGGCGTACTTGTTTAGATAATCGGAGAAATGGACCTGGTGAAGGGCATATTGAAAAGAGGAGAAAGAAAGCAGAGGTTGAAGTGCACTTTGGTGGGTTGGGTGAGGTTTCAAGATGGGAGAGACTTGAGGTTGTTTAATGCTTATGGGAATGAAAGTGAAAGCGAGAGGAGAGCAGGGATGATGGGTGAGAGGGTATGCCCTGACCACCTTTTATGAAATTGCGGTATGGTTCCCCACTTCAGCCTCCTGGTCCTTCTCATTTTGTTTATTGTAGTGCTTATCACATTATTATGTAACTTATTTGTTATGTTCAATATTTATTGTCTGTCCCCACCCTGCTCCAAGAAGGAAGGAATTTTTACCTAGTTTATTTACTAACTCCAAGCATCTAGAATAGCATCTGATACGTGCTAAGTGCTCAATAAACATTTATTAAAGAATGACTGAAAGAGCAAGTTTTCTAACAAGGCAAGAGGGGAGAGGAGCCAGAACACAGCCAATAACATGGTTCTGGCTTGTCAATCCTGAGCAGAATATACCTGCCAGAAAGGACCCCCTGTGGTTAATTGTGCTCAAATTCATAACCAGAATCTAGCAGACATTGTTTGCAGAGGTCCCTCAGGCAGCTTGCATTTCAGTGAAAAGCCACAGGTTAAGGCTGTCAAGTCTTACATCGTGCTCCTGCCTGTCAGCTGAGTTGACCCTTATCAGGGAGTGCCTAAGATAGAAATTCGACCAATAGGACTGAGACTTTCCCCATCCAACCAGCGCTGTGCAGCTATAGTCTTATTTGCGTCCTCACCGACCAATCAGAGTGGCTCCATTCTGACCAATGAGGAATCATTTGCATAGAACTAGACCAATCAAGCGAAGGGGCGGGCATTCTTCTAAGGCCCCTTCACCTCGGCCTCAGCATAGCACACCTTGAATTTCCATGCAAGTGTGCGATGTCCAGGCGGGAGCTGCAACACCACACGGAGGCCGCTCCACCTGGGCTGCCTCAGCCCAGGAAAGCCTCACACCTTACTCTACTAAGTTGGTGACCCTTGTTGGCATTGAGTTGGTGAAAGAACCTTTGAGGTCGAGTCCATTGGATCCCATGTGTTGCCCTACCACCTATTGTGGCTGCCAAGGGAGCGGGCAAGGGTGCAGAGCCAGAGCATCCCAGCTGGCTGGAAACGGTGCGGAATATTACCGCGATGATTTTGGCCTGCGTTGCATCTCTTTCCTATTTTGTTCAGGACTGTGACTCAAAGTTTATCATAATGTCAGTCCGTTCGTGTGCTTTGTCTCTTAAGACATTAGCTGGGTGCCTCCTGGGAGCCCTCCAAGCCTGGCACACAAGAGGGGCCCAATAAAGCCTTATGGCGGCGGGGAGCGGGGCGGGTGTGCTTGGCGTCGTCCTGCGTGTTTTTCTGAGGCGCTTCCACAGGTCTAGGCTTGTTTGAGGCGGACCTGATGGTCCTTCAACGGTGGGACGAACTGTGGTGACACGACAGGCAGAGGGAAGGGACTGAATAGGAGAGAGCGGGCTGTGTGGCCAAAGGCGGCGGTGCGAGCGCAGCCGAGGAAGGGGAGCAGCTTTCCAGCAGCAGCCCCGCGGGCCTTCCGCTTCGGCGGCCCCGCGTCGCAAACCGGGCTGCGCCTGCGCGCGGGCGGTCGGAGCGCGGGGCCGCCAGCGGCGCCGCGTAGCGCGGCCCGGGTCACGTGGTGCGCTGGCAGCCTCCCCGCCTCCTTCCCGGCGGGACGCTCGGGACCGCCCGAGCTGCGCAGGGCGGCCGGGGTGAGTGTCCGCGAGGGGCGCGCGTCTCGCAGACCGGGCGGGCCTGGGCGGGGACGCCGGCCGGCGGGATGCCTTGCGGGACCCACGGGGATAAAATGGCTGCAGGGTACGCCCTTTCACCCGCTCCCCTCACCTGGCAGTGTGGGCGGGGAGGGGCCGGAGTCGCTGCTGGGGGAGGGGCGCCGCGGCCGCTCGCGGGGGGCCGGGGGTCCTGTGAGGAGGCCCCGGGTGGAGAGTGAGCGGGCTCAGCCGGGCGGCGAGGCCGAGAGGTGGGCGGGGTCTGCCCCAGCCCGCACGGGGCGACCCGGCGGCGCGCGTGGACGCTTCGGGAATGTCCAAGCTTCCCAGGGGAGCCTCCCTGCCGGCCCCTCACCTGACAGGTGATTGCCCGTCAGCCTCTTCTCAGCGGGCTTGACCGCGCTTTCCCTCCATCTTCCCGGGACGCGGCAGGAATGGTGTCTCCATCGTACACATGGGGAAACTGAGGCCCGCGGGGGTGAGGAGTCCCACCCAGGCCTCGCACCTCTGTCGGTGTCCCCTTCCCGGCGCTTCATTCGCGCCTTGCCCCGCCGGGGGGTGACGGGAACGGGCAGCACCTGCTGCTGTCCAGCGGCTCCGCTGGGGTGCGGCCGCCTGCCCCGGAGCGGCGTCCTGCCGCCGCCGCCGCCGGTGGACCGCCGACCTCCTCCTGTTCGCGCCGAGTAGTCGCCTTACTGAATCGTAATTCCTTATGAATTCTAGTTTGCTGTAGTTTACCAACATTAATTATTCCATGCTCGTAAGCAACCCGAGGTTAGAAGGATGGGGTGGGCATTGTGCTCTTTTTATGAATGAGGGAACTGAGGCTGAAAGAGGCTATTACCTGTCCCAGGTCACTTGCTGGGAAATGGCAGATCTGGGCTTAAGCTTTCAGACCTAAGGCTGGCAGCCTGCCCGTTGCCCCTCTGTGGTTTATATTGGTGCTCTGGCTCTTGTATTTTTTTTTTCTGTTAACTATGACTTTTCCTAAAAATGTGTTGGATGCAGATTGATTTTGTGCCCCATGTTGAAATAATCTGAGTAATTCCAAGGAAGGAGTTATTGTAATCAAAGAGCTGACTTTTTAATATGATTTGGAAAGTTGTCCTTGTGGGAGGAAGCGTGATATGGTGACTTTGAAAGCAGATCTGAGTTTGATCTGAGTTTGAATCCCAGCCCTGTTACTTTTCCAGTGGCCGATTACTTCCTTTTTCTGGGCCTTGGTTTCCTCATCTGTAAAATAGGGAAAATAGCCTCATAAATTTGTTGATAGTGAGTAAACAAGGTGTCTGTAAAGCATTTAGAACTGCTCCTGGCCTGTAGTAATCCCTTGACAAATGGTGGCGTTTTTGCCTTCTTTCTCTCCATTCCCTTGAGCTGCAATTTTATTTTCCATAGTTAACTACCTGGTGGTTTAGGTCAGTCTACCTGCCGGATTATGCATGGAAGCATCCTCAATGTTACTATATAAATGCATTTATAAATAACTTCGGTGACTTGGGGTCCAAAGGATATACAGTGTTTTAAACATAGAATTTAATAATTGCTAAAAGGTTGATTTGATATTAACTTGATTAATACCTTCATTTAACTACTTTACAGGCATGTCTTAAAGATAAGTTATGAAGGGGCTTGAGAGTCTCTTTTCTTTCACCTTCATACCCAACCACAATACAACTTAGTTTTAAAGTAGAAGCAAAAATTCGTGGGGAATCACATGTGAATATTCTTTAAACACTTAGAAAGTGGTGGTGGCATTTAGTTGGAAGTTAAACACAATTCTCTAATGGTACAATCTGATATCCACCGTGAGATTGGCATTTCTGAAATTGTGGAAATCAAAACTGCACATGGCTTGTATACCAAAACTTAAGTCATTAATAAAAATCTGTTTCCAGTTTTATGCTGGAATGGTAACGGTTTCCACAAACATGTTTGGCTTTGGTTGCGGGTCATATGGAACATAAAACAGAGAAAAAAATCTACTGTTCATTGGTAGAGCCAACCTTAAATTATTAGAAGGAAATGATTGATAGATTTTTTTTCCTCTGTGACATGAAACACTAAAGATTTCATGAAGCTTTGCCAAAATAAATACTACTTTTTAATGCTAACTTTAATGCTAACTTTTTAATGCTAACTTTAAAGTACTAAGTTCATTATATATTTTGAGAAGATAGGCAAAATAGAGAGTAAAATTAATTGCTATGTAACAATCTGTTGCAGCAATTACCTACGCATGGGCAATTTTGTCCTACAAAAGCTACCCTCCCCATTGTTTTGAAGCAAATCTCAGGCATCATATTTTATTTTCAGAGATTTCAGTAGGTGTCAGGATTGCTTTTAATATAGTATTGGAAGAGCAGGGCAATTCTGTTATTTTCAGAGAGGCATGCCAGTTTCATGGGAGAAAATAAATGCCTC